AATTTGACTGCTATCCTGGATTTTAGACTTGCATGGGGCCTGTAACCCCTACATTTTGGCCAATTTCTTTCATTTGGAGTGGGTGTACTTACCCAATACCTGTACCCCCATTGTATCTAGGGAATAACTAATTTGCTTTTTATTTTACAACCTTATAGGTGGAAGAGACTTGCCGTGTCTCAGATGACAGTTTGGACTTTAGAGTCAATGCTGGAATAAGTTAAGATTTTAGGGGACTGTTGGAAGGGCATGACTGTGTTTGGAAATGCGAAGACATGAGATTTGGGATAGGACAAGGATGGAATATGATTTGGCTGTGTCCCACCCAAATGTCATCTTGAATTGTAGTCCCCGTAATCCCTCTGTGTAGTGGGAGAAACCAGGTGGCAGGTAATTGAATCATGGGGTGACTACCCTCACGCTATTCTCATGACAGTTGAGTGAGTGAGTTCTCATAAGATCTGATGGGCTTATAAGGGGCTTTTTCAACCCTTTTGCTCAGCACTTCTTTTTGCTGTCACCATGTGAAGAAGGACATGTTTGTTTTCCCTGACATCATGATTATAAGTTTCTTGAGGCCTCGTCAGTCATGTGAAACTGTGAGTCAGTTAAACCTCTGTCCTTTATTAATTACCCAGTCTTGGATATTTCTTCATAGCAGCATGAGAATCAACTAGTAGACTCCCTTTCTCTGGCAAACACTTGCCTTTTTACTGTCTCCATAATTTGCCTTTTTCAGGATGCCATGTACTTGGAATGTTACAGTGAGTAGCCTTTACAAGTTTGGATTCTTGCAGTTGGTAACCTACAAAGTCTTATCAGTTCTTTTTGTGGCTCGATAGATCATTTCTTTCTTTTTTCCTTCATTATCTGGATGTATGAAGGGCATCTTGGTGGTTTCCAAGTTTTGACAATTATGAATTAAGTTGCTATAAACATTCATGATCATGTTTTTCAATTCATTTGGGTAAATGCCAAGTAATAAGATTGCTGGAGTGTATTGAAAAAGTACGCTCAGCTTCACAGAAAAGTTCAAGATTGTCTTCCAAAGTAGCTGTATTACTTTTCATTTCCCCCAGCAGTGAATGGCAGTTCCTGTTGTTCTACATCCTTCTCATTTGGTGTTGTCATTTACTTTTATTTTGACCATTCTAATAGGTCTGCACTGGTATTTCTCTGCTGTTTTACTTTACAATTCCCTGATGACATGTGATGTTGAACATCTTTCATATGGTTGCTTAGCATCTGTATATCCTCTTTGGTGAAGTGTCCAGGTCTTCTGCCCATTTTTAATTAAATTATTATTTATTTTTTTATTTTTGTATGTCTGTGGTGATTATTTTTATCAGATAAGTACGTCATTTGCAGATATTTTCTCCTATTTTATGGCTTGTTTTCTCATTCTCTTGAAATTGTTTTTCACAGAGTGTGAGTTTTAATTTTCATGAAGTTCAGCTTGTCAGTTAGGGTTTCATTGATTGTGCCTTTGGTGTTGTATCTAAGAGTCATTGACATATTTAAGGTAACCTAGGTTTCTTCCCCTATATTATCTTCTAGTTATAGTTTTACATTTTATATTCACGTCTGTAATGCATTTTGAGATGATTTTTGAGAATGTGTAAAGTCTCTCTCTTGATGTTTTGCATGTGTATATTCAGTTGTTACAGAACAGTTTGTTCAGAAGACGCTCTTTGCTCCATTGTATTGCTTTTGCTCCTTTGTCAAGGCTTAGTTAACTCTATTTATGTGGGGCATTTGCTGCCATTGTTCTTTGTTGCTGTTTCTGTCTTTCACTCTTTTTCGGTCTTTCTTCCTTTTAATAGAGCATTTGACGATTCTATTTATCTCTATCTTTGGCACGTAACTTACACTTCTTTAAAAAAATGAATGGTTTCCCTAAAGTTTAATTATACTTTCACAACTAAGCCAAGTCTACTTTCAAATAATGATATGCAATTTCGCAGGTAGGACGAGCACCTTTTAATAACAAAATAATACACTAATTCCTTCTCTGTCCCTTGTATCATTGCTATTTTTTCACTTGTACATGAGCACACAAAAATATACATCTATACATAAGCATAAATGACCAACTGCATTGTTGCTATTATTTTGAATGAATTGTTTCCATAGACCAATTAGCAATAAGACAAATAAAATTTTTCTTTAAAATTTTAACTTCACTTATTCATTATCTGATGCTCTTCCCTTGTTTATGTAGATCTAAGTCTACAACCTATATTATTTTTCCCCTCTCTAAAAAACCTCTTTTAATATTTTTTGCAAGGCAGGGTTGCTGGCAATAAATTCTCCCAAGTTTTGTTTATATGAGAAAGTCTTTATTTCTTCAGTACTTTTAATGGGTAATTTTGCAAGGTAAAAAAATTGTGGGTTGGTGTTTTTTTGTTTTCTTTTGATACTTTAATTAATTCACTCCACTTTGTTTTTGTTTGATTGGTTTCTGAGAGAATTAGACATAATTTTTATCATTGCTCCTACACAGGTAAGGTGTTTTCTTCCCTATTTTTTCCAATAATTTTTATTTATCCTTGATTTTTTTGATGTTTGAATATGATATGTTAATGTACAGCTTTTTCTGGGGGTGCATTTCTCCTCCTTGATTTTTTTCTTAGCTTCCTGGGTCTGTAGTTTGGCTGACATAAATTTAGGAAAATTCTGAGATATTATTGCTTCAAATATGTCTTCCTTTCTCTTCCTCTTTTATAAATTTAGGAAAATTCTGAGATATTATTGCTTCAAATATGTCTTCCTTTCTCTTCCTCTTTTGTAAATTTAGGAAAATTCTGAGATATTATTGCTTCAAATATGTCTTCCTTTCTCTTCCTCTTTGATAAATTTAGGAAAATTCTGAGATATTATTGCTTCAAATATGTCTTCCTTTCTCTTCCTGTTTTATAAATTTAGGAAAATTCTGAGATATTATTGCTTCAAATATGTCTTCCTTTCTCTTCCTCTTTTATAAATTTAGGAAAATTCTGAGATATTATTGCTTCAAATATGTCTTCCTTTCTCTTCCTCTTTTATAAGTTTAGGAAAATTCTGAGATATTATTGCTTCAAATATGTCTTCCTTTCTCTTCCTCTTTTCTTCCTCTTCTGTTTTTTTCACTACGCACAAGATATACTTTTTGTAGTTGTATCGTAATTCTTGGACTTTCCATTCTATTTTGTTTCCAATCTTTTTTCCATTTGCTTTTTAGTTTTGGGAGTTTTATTGTTATATCTGCCAGCTCAAAGATTCTTCCCTCAGCTGTGTTTATTCTACTAACAAGCCCATCAAAGGCATTCTTTATTTCTGTTACAGTATTTTTGATCTCTAGCATTTCGTTTTGATTCTTTCTTAGAAGTGCCTCCTTTATGCTTACACTATTCATCTTTTCTTGGATGTTGTCTTCTTTTTCCCTTAAAACTCCTAGCATATTAATCATGCTTATTTTGTAAATTTCTAGTCTGATAATTCTAACATTCTTACCCCATTTGACTTTGGTTCTAGTGTTGGGTTAGCCTCTTTAGGCTGTGATTTTGGCCATTGAATATACCTTATAATTTTTTGATGGAAGATAAATATGACATACTGGGTAATAGGAACTGCAGTAAATAGGCCTTCAGGGACGTAGAGACCAGGCGGGGGTAGCAACAGCCTACTACACTTCCGTGATTAGGTTTCAGTTTTATGGTGAGCCTGTGCACTGTGAAATTCACCAGCGTTTCACAGGTCCCTCCCTGCCTTACACATGATAAGATGGCTAGAGGAAGCTGGAACTGGGTATTACTTTTCTCCTAAATAGGTTAGGCTCTGATCAAACCACAGCAGGTTAGGCTCTGGTGGAAAGTGTCTCCTGAGGTCAGACCTTCTTAAGAATAAAATGTTCTTCTGTATTTTCTAAATGGTTCCCTTTCCCCTCCCTCTGTTGGAAGCATCATGGAATATTTCTCTGGTATTCACTGTGAGGATTTGGTAGAGCCCTGAAGATAAAAGTCTCAAAAGTGAGGGGACATCTCTGTGTTTGGGTCTTCCTGGAATTTTTAACTCTTAGACTTGTCTGCCAAAACAATTTGTCAATTACAGTTTAGGTGTTCGTACCTTGCTGGTGTTGCTTCAAAAAAAAAAAAACAACAACAAATGGGTTTTAGCTCTGGCAAGTTGTGATTCTCTGTTTCCAGCTGTCTGTCTCTCCAATTTGGGGAAGAGCAGTTTGCCCAGTGACCTCACTTTTTCTGGTGGATCTAACGATTATTAACTTTTCACTTCGTTCAGTTTTTACTTTGATCAATATGGAGTGGTAACTTCTCAGTCCTTTCTATGCTGGACCAGATTCTGAAAATTTGAAGCTGGATTTTGAGGGTGCTTAACCAGGTGGATTGAAACAGAAGCCATGGCAAGCAAAAGCGCATTGACTGAGAGCACTCTCACAATATAGGATTGAGCTCTTTGGCGAGGACCCCAGTGTATGGGGCAAACTGTCTGTATTAGTTTGTTTTCATGCTGCTGATAAACACATACCTGAGACTGGATAATTTATAAAGAAAAAGAGGCTTAATGAATTCACATTTCCATGCGGCTGGGGAGGACTCACAATCATGGCAGAAGCAAAAGGCACATCTTACATGGCAACACACAAGGAGAGAGTGAGAGCCAAGAGAAAAGGGTTTCCCTTTATAAAACCATCAGATCTCAAGAGAGTTATTCACTAAAATGAGAACAGTATGCAGGAATCCACCCTCATGATTCAATTATCTCCCACATGGTCTCCCCCACAAGATGTGGGAATTATGGGAGCTACAATTCAAGATGAGATTTGGTTGGGGACACAGTCAAACCATATCACCATCTGCTAGAGTTGAACTCAGACACCAGGATAAAATGATGTCCCATGCTGAACAGAGCAGAGTTTCTTGACTGGCTATAGCCAACAGTAGAGGAAGGATAAAGATTCTGAAAGAAGTAGTCATAGTGGATTGATGATGTCACATAAATCTAGAAGATTCACAAGAAAACCCTCTCCTCAAGCTGTGCTTGTGAGAGAGGCAGTGACATTTCTAAGTATTTCCGTGGTAATTGCTGTCTTTCTGTCAGAGCAGACAGTAGAGAAGCCATCACGAAAGTGAGTGCTGTAATATCCGTGGAGACAGAGAGCTCACGTAGTAATACAGGCCAGTAGCAGTACTTCCCAGAGGAAGTGGGCTTTTGACTCTAGTAAACTACTACTTTTTGCAACTACAAATATCTGGCTTCAATAATTCGGGGCAGAAACATTTCGGTCATTCGTCTGAGGTGAAGTGCACTTTGAGCACACCCCTCTCTGAATGAGTTCTCACCCTGTGTGTTTCGGTCACATCCGGCATTTCTACTGCCAGGACTCATGCAAGCAACAATGTAACTGCTTGTTTTGCTTGTTTAAATGAAAGAGAGAAATCAACTTGCATATATATATATACAGAGCTTCTCTCTTGGTGCCCAGGCTGGAGTGTAACGGTGCAATCTCCGCTCACTATAACCTCCACCTTCTGGGTTCAAGTGATTCTCCCACTGCAGCTTCCTGAGTAGCTGGGATTATAGGTGCCTGCCACCATGTCCAGTTAATTTTTGTATTTTTAGTAGAGCCAAGGTTTCACCAGGTTAGCCAGGCTGGTCTCGAACTCTTGACTTCAGGCAATCCACCTTCCTTGGTCTCTCAAAGTGCTGGATTATAGGCGTGAGCCACTGCACCCCGCCCAACTTCCTTCTTAATCTGTATTTTGAAAATGTTTCTTGTATTCTGTCCCATCAAGAAGCATTCTCTCACATTTGATGCTAACTTTCATCTTATGGAAATAATACTGAATGAAACTTAGCCTCTTTAGGATTGTGTCCTTAAAGCTCTAAATAACATGAATATTTGATAGATTCTGATGAATTACTTGAAAAAAAGAAGTAATGGATCCACACTTCCCAGTCTATCTCTAAAGCTCTGATCCTGCAGCCTTTGACCACACCTTCTCAAATGTTTACTCAAATGACACAATATTTGCCACTCCTCTTTTCTTTCTGTGGTGCAAATGACACCACATATGAACCCATTACAAAGAGGAGAGAGCATCACATTTAGTGACCTTCAATTAAATATCAGGTGTGATGCCAGACTCTTTCCAAATGTCACTGTTGGATAAATAATATATAATATATGTATAATAATATAATAAGACTATGTTAAATTTAAGGATTCCAGCATTGATCAACGAAAAAATAAGGATGTGAGAGGCACTAACATTGCTTTGCTGGATAGAGTGCTTGCATAGAGTTGCATAAGACTCCTTCCCAGCAAGAGATCTTCCAAAGACAATGACACAAAGCTACACCCAGAAGCAAAATAGAGAAAAAAGGATCTCTTTAGGAAAAGGAGAAAATCATAGAGGGAGCTCACCTAAGTGATGTTCTTGTCTTAGCAGCTATTGAGGAATTGCTGAGTGAAAGAGTATAAAAGAGGCAGCCATTGTTTAGCTACAAAGGTCATCTACTTATCTGTAATTAGCAGATGTTGAGTGCAGTTTTGCAGAGTATGCAAACTAGGTAGGCTCTAAATGGCTAAACATATGATAATTTAAACTATATTTAAAGAAACTGGGTGTGTACAAATTTCAATTTCAACATCATTAGGCTTTAGCTAATGGTCCTAGCTTGCTGTGAAGATGTGAACAATATGGGGACAGTTTGGGGCTAATATACTGGGGCCTACACTGCCGGTTCATTTCTACAGCAGACTCAAAATGGCTTGTCTCATGTGATACAGCAGGAGGAAGGTAAAGCTGGAACACTAACCCACACTATCATTTATCATTCCATCAGATGAATGCTATGTATGCCATTCCTTACAAGAGTGCCTTTTCTCGGCATAACAAAATTTGCATTCTCAGGTATTAAAGGGAAAACTTTATCTCTAAAGTGTCATAAAGAAAGACAGTAAAACAAATGTTCAAAGAGGAGCCACTCACCTTGTTCTCTATCATTAGAATCCTGAACTGACAACATGGTATGAGAGAGAGAGAGAGAGAGAGAGGGAGGGAGAGAGAGAGAGAGAGAGAGAGAGAGAGAGAGAGAGAGAGAGAGAGAGAGAGAAACAGAGGCATAGCATATAAGAAAGAAAAGAGAAAAGGGGTGTGCATATGTGTGTGGGTGGGTGTGAGAGAGGAGAAAGAGAAAGATAGAGGGTTAAAGAGAGAACAAACTAGAGTGTTTATGTTCTTTAGATCTTTACCTGCTTTGAGAATGTTACTTTTCCCACTGTCTTGCAGCGTTACTGAGGTATGATTGACAAGCACAAATTATGTATATCGAAGGTATACAACATAAGGATATATGAACACATTGTGAAATGATTATCCCATCAAGCTGATTAACATACCAATCAGCTCACATAGTTTTTTTTGTTAGAATACTTAATTTCTATTCTCTTAGCTTTTGAGAATACATTATTATTATTAACGAAAATCACCATGCTGTATATTAGAATTCAAACCTTATTCACTTTATAATGGAACGTTTGTGCCCTTTGAGCCTCCTTCCACTGCTTCAGTGAGATTTTGAATTTGTAGAAGTCAGCCATCTGAGGGACATCAATGATATACCCTTTGGAATTAAAAGACTGATGTTATGACAAAACATGTGCAGTAAAATATTTTATCAGAAACATATATAAAGAAAGCTTCATGATAATAAATTGTTAGGATTTATTCTTGCACCTGGCCAATGTGAAAACCGGTGACCCTTTTAGTGCACGGTGTATTTAACATTCACCCTTCCAAGGCGGATTTAGGTTTACTGAGGTGTCATGCTTAGGAGGTCACCTGTTAGGACACCTACCATATACTAGCCTTGGGCTTTATTTCCCTTCTCCCTGGATGGCATCAAAATGCAAGTTCAAGGTCATCGCAGTGTTTGAGAGATGCTCAGTGACTTTGGCACTTTTTGTCCTCGAGGTGACCAACTTCACCTGGTTTGGAGACTCTGGGGGTTATTAATTCCTAAGTACAGAATGCTATCCTCTAATTGAACTAGTAAAGCTCCTTTTATCATTGGTCTTTAAGAAAATGAATTGCCTTAAACGTTTGGCATTAAAATATTCCATGTTAAGAAGAAAGGCAGGAAGAAATGGAAGAAGAAAAGAACATTCATTTATATTATATTACAAATGCATATTTATGTTCTGAATTTAAAAATTAACACTATAATAAAACTGTTTTCATCTTTAAGAATATCATGAGCACCACTATCAGTAATATTCTACCCTAGAACAGATCCATGCATTTATCCAACTGTAAAAAAAAAAAAAAATACATGTTTTATTCTCTGATAGGTGAGGAAATTAGAAATGATTTGGGAAGTTTTCTCTTTGTTTTTAACAAGAGCTTCTCAGAACACTGTTCCCAAACATTCTGATTCTGTACACTGGTTTGGATCTTAGCAAACACATAAAAAAAAACCCTTCAGGTGATTTTGGGAGTCAGGTTTGTGATATGCTGAATTATTCCAGGTTTACTTTGATGTTGATCACTATGAACTCAGAGAAAGATAGTGCCTTGTCTAAACTCACCAAGAGCTTGAGAGTTATAGATTTCAGATTAAAACTCAGACCCCTGCCCTCCAAAGCAGTACTGAAAATTCAGTCATATCCAAACCACAGAATTTACTCTTTCTCTGTATCTTCAGTCTAAGTGCTCTGCTTTAGGCAGAAAATATTTGTTTTGAACAGTGGCTTGCTTCATTGACATAGAATTGCAAAAAGAAGCCTGACAGATTTCCCAAGTCTTGTGCAACAATAAAAAATATATGCAAAAGTGGGTTTAATTCCCTGACCTCCTAAACAAACACGTGCCCTCCATCCTCCACCACAGAGAAAAGAAATGATTTCCATTTAAAAGGTGTTTTGACATTGATTAGTTGAGACTAAAGTCCCACATAACTCAACTGCTTGAAAATAAAGTCATAGCTAATGGCTCTTCCTGGCTTCAGCCAAAGAAATGTTGAGCAGCATCTAAAGAAACATCTGTCTTTTCATATTTATGAACAGTTTTTGTTATAAATCCTATAGGATTCTTGATATTCATTATGAAAGAAAATCTGTATGATCATTTTAAAGACCATCTGCTCAGGGTTTAGGATCATCATCTCGCTGGGCTTCTTGGAGCACTATGTCCAAAAGGAAATAACAAACATGCTGTAAAAATTCATACAGTGTTTTTTTCTTCTCCCCATCCCCACCTTGATTAACAACGTAGATGCTTTTCTTTTCCTTTGATGGAAATGTGATTCAGGAAGAGCTGAAGGTTTTCTACTCCATTTGGATGATTTTCATCTCTTTGAAGTAATGCTACCTTAGAGCTAGAAACAATTTTTGGAGATCTAAAGCCCTGACTATCAACAGTGGGAAATTTATTTTTATCAACTCTTTTTCTCTTCCCGTTTGATATATGACTGGGCTTTTAAAAATATCAGTTGAATCAGCTGAATACCATGCAAAGGAATATATGTTGCACCTTGTGATTAATACAAATGTGGCTCAGGACAACACACACACACACACACACACACACACACACACACACACACGGAGAGCCAGAGAGACAGTGAGAGGATACAGTTGGTATTATTTGAATTTTGAAACCACAAGGACATCAAAGTCTTTCTTGATGTGCTGCAGAATGTTACCAAAGCAGTTACATTTTACACTCTGTGTTCTTAGAATAATATCACATGGAAAACGTCGCAACTTTTAAGATACAAAGATGTTACTGGAGAAACTTATTGAAAACTCAGAAAGCAATATCAGAATGGAGTTGAAGTGACCTCTTTATCCAGGTAAAAAAGGTGTCTTATGAAGTAAACCAAGAAAAGTCTATTTTTCCCTTACATCCTACTTAAGATGTGTTCTCCAACTGATTTGTCAATGCAACAAACTCACCATTCTCTTACCAAATGCGTGAAAGCAAGGGAATACCATCTTTCAGGTGAGAAGACAAGCACAGAATTTTCCTATTGCGGAGGCATACACACATCCCACGTCTTTCCTGTGCACTCTCTTTTTCTTTTTTTTTTTTTTTTTAAATGTGTTGTGCCAAAACCCCAATCCCTCCAAGCTATAAGCTCAGAATTAGAATGATGAAGTAGGATATATTCTTACTATAACCAGAAGCTTGAGATTTCCATATATGTTACAAGTTAAAAATACCCATCTCCACGGCCATTTAACTGTGGGATCTCAGGTAAGTTAATCATCTATTCTGAATCTGTTTCCAAAAGAGAATACACAGCCCAAAATGTAGTCCTGCAGTCCAAATGAGCCCAAAGGCATGGCACAAATATTGGGTACACTTATTCTAAGAATATATATTATGGAACACTTATTCTAAGAACCAAAATTTCTATGCTCATTAATCTTCTTCTGTATGATTATGTTCTCCTAAGATTTTTAAACTCCTCCACGCAAGGGATAAAGTCTATCCTTCATTTCTATTTTATGAGAGTACAGTGTTGAGCCATAAACATACTAGTGGTGAATTAGCATTGCTGATTGTTGGGTTCATTCAATTGATTGAGTAGCCAAAACAGCAACATTTACTCTAACTTGACTTGGATTTTCTTGTTGCATATTAGTTGGTTTTGTAAGAATGATTATATATATTCCTTATGTTCCCCCCCAAAAAATTTCAATCAATCAGTGCTGGACATTGACAGATCCTCTTGCTCAGTTTCTGGTTTAAGTATTAATAAAGGCTAAAATGACCACATCTTCAGTCATGATGTAGAGAATAGAGGGGATCAGTACACTCAGAGAGGAACTCTGATTGGTGAGACTGCACTTGCATTGCTCTATAAGTTAGTCAGGTCACTTCCCTTTAGCATGAATTATGTTTTTGCAAAATGGTATTAATAATTTATGTTTTGCTTATTCTATAGATTGTTAATAAGTGTTTCCCAAAAGATGAATTAATAAATGATAAATTAATAAGAAGCTAATTATTTGATGGTGTATGGGCATTCATGGAGGAATGGATACCAGCTCCATGAAAAAATAGTTTTTAATGTAATTTATTAGAAATTGGTGGTTCAGGTTCTAGACTATTCTAGATAAAAGCCCATATTTAGAATTTTTATTTCATCTAGTTCAAACAAGGACAGTAGCTATAAGACAGCTTCTTTTCCTTCTATGTTCTTGATACATATTGGGATGTACCATGTTTTAGGAGGAAGAACAACAGGCATAGCATTTGAAATTAGAAATCTACATAGGAATTTAATTCTCTTATCTGTAGTTGTGCCTCTTTGGGTCAGCATTTGCCCTTTCTGAGTTTCTTCATCAGCCAAATAAATAATAATACATTCTCTACCTCCCATAACGATATAGATTTATTTTAAAAGGAAATAATGCCACCATTACTATCATATCCCACAAAATCGGGGAAATTTCAGGGAGAGGTTCAAAATAGGAAACCTGAGTTAGTTTAAAAGAAAACCTAGGGACAGTGGTTATATATCCTATAATTTTCTCTGCTATTTTGACTAGCTGACTTTATTAAGATACCTGTTTCTATCATCTATAAATAGGCATGGGGGAGGGCACCATGACATCTAATAAGTCTGTGTCTCTTCAGTTTATGGATTGTTCCATTGATGAGTGATTTTCCCTACTAAACCACATCTGGGAGAAATAATAGAGCCTTTTAGAAGAACTAGGATATCTAAACAAAAGAGTCTTTTAGAAGTACATAGACAGAGCAAGAGTTGCAGATCAGAGATAAAATATAACAGGAAGTTCTGGGACAATGAATACTCATTTCACAAAACATCAGAATAATGACAACCTCTGGGGAAAGAGAGAAGAATTAAACTGGGAATGGGCTCACAGAGCCTTGAACATACTAGCCTAATCTCTTTCTTACCCTGAGTTTTGATTACACACACCTTATGATTATTTGTAATCTGCCCATAGATAAACTATATATTTTTAAAATGAACATTTAACATTAAATTTATTTATGACATAAAGAAGTATGCAGAATGAAATACTGTAAATCTAGGAACTAAAGTGGTTTTAATGACAAACAATTACCTAGCTGAAACTATGAACTGACTCCAGAATAAAATATATTGAGCCATCTGGTAGTTGAGCTAGTGTGCCTGAAAGAATAGCACAGACCAAGTCTGAGTCCATTTAATTGATTAACATATTTATGTTATCAGAAACAGGCAAATAAAACACAGAAGGACTCATTTGGTCACTATTTAGAAACTTGGGCTGAATAACAATAATATTTAGTTCAGTAAATAGCTGTTGATGTGTAAATATAGGAATTTATTATAGGTGTTCTATTTACGACAGTGACATTCTTGGACATTTAGGCTTTGCTCACACCCAGGCTTTGAGACTTGTGAGATTAATTCTGGCAGCAGGCAATCAAGCTGACTTTTATCCAGTGAGAGATTGACAACACAATGGCCAACAGCCAAATGGTATTTAGCCATAGAACTCTGACCCCTAATTCCTGCAGCAACCAGCTCTGGGATCCAAACCACAATCTTATAGAAATTGGCTTAAAAAAGTAAGAACTTGGACAGGGACTGCCAGTATTCCCAATTTTTGTTCCTACTTCCAACTCATGACCAACCAGAGGAAGGCAAACATACTCCCAAAACCAATTGCAGGCTTCTAGTTGACATTCAGCCTTCCCAATCTTCAACAGGAGTGTACCAGAAGTCTTCCCATGTTTTCACGGTAAAGCTTCTCCATCACCCTGTGTGCCTTTAAGCCTGTACCAGATACAAGGGAGAGGGCTAACTCCCTGATCGAGCAACTTCTAAATAAACAGTCTGCTGTCATCTGACTTGTCTTCATTTATTTCCCCAGTTATTGTTTTCACTCAATTTTCACTAAAACAACAACAACAACGATTACATTGGAAACCTTTCATCCTGCCCCTATTTCATTCCTAGTTGCAAAAAGTAACATTCATGGAGAAAAAGTGTGCTTAATTATTATATCCATTTTAAAAAAATACTGAGCAAGCAGTAACCAAGAATATTATAAATATAGTGTAGCAATAGGGGAAATAATATGGAGTAATTTTTTTAAAAAAAATTTAAACGTAAATGCATAAATGAGTATATTATATATACACACACACACACACACACACACACACACCCCACACACACACACAGAGTGGACCAATTCAAAACTGAAACATGTAAAAATAAAAAATATGGTAGTTTTGCTTGATAATTGAATTGTGGATGGCATTTTACATTTATTCTTGTTTCAATATTCTTTGATGAAATTGTTTTGAAAAATGAGCAGCATCTATCACTTAAATGGATTAAACAAGTGTTCCAGGTCTGTTCTCTGACAGAAGCCTTTGCACCTACAAATCTTACCTAATTATGACTTCTAAACAATTCCTTGAATGTAATTTACACACTGTAAACTTCTCTGCAAATGTAAAAGATAATTATTATTCTACAAGAATTATTTAAATACATAAATACCTGAATTTGTGTGCCTAAAATGTACACTGGCTGAGGTCCCCTAGTTCTGGAAATCAACGGCCAGTATGTCTGTGATAATGTAGCCAATACACTCTCTGGTGTGACATTTTTGCCACCAAGGTGGTCCAGGATGGGATAATGGAATAAAGCTAAGCTGGATATACATATGCTCTAATGGAAACAAATTACATCAAGATGGGCTGTTAGTATGACAAGAAACCATGTAAAATGCCTTTAAAGCACAATATATTCAGTACGTAGAGACAAATCTTAAGGTGATGAAAAGAACCAGGAGTCAAGAGACCTGAGATGTTTGTGCAACCCTGTAACCAACAAGGAGTGGGGCTGCTGACTTGGATGGTTCACCTGCTTCTGGGTTCTGTATTTCCTAAGAGCTAAAATAAGGATTTGAGATGTGATGATTTCAAGAGGCCGTTTCAGATCTGACATTCTATTGTAGTAGAGCTCTAGATATTACATTAGATTTCATATTATATCTATCTGGCCTTGTAGCACACCATTAATCCTCAATTGTATTGCTATATTGGAAGGAGAAAAGAATCATCAAATCAGAAAAAAGCTAAGAAAGTTAGGTGATGGGAAAGAAAGAAAAAGCTAATTTGTCTGTTACAGTTCATTTCACATGTAGAGGGAGTTAAGATGGGAAAAGTATATCTCAGAAGGTAATTACATATTGTCTGCAATCAATAGAACACACTGGGGAGAGAAAAGCTACTTGTATTACACTTAGAATTAGGGCTTCATGTTGTCGCTTGAGTTATTCTTGGTCACAGCCGCTGAAGCAACACTTAGAAAGCCCTAAGCCTACTCCAAAACTTTCCTACTCAAGCTCTGTCCTGTCTCCAAATCCCTGCCCCACCGTATGAAAAAGCACACACTTTGGGCCATTCTCAGATATTGTGATCAGTGATGAAGTGTGATTGGAATCATTTGTCACTATTAGTGCTTAATTATTTGAGGGTATTGAGCCATTAACTTGAAATAGATAACTCAATGAAGTTGTTGTTGATAATTCCACTTCTATCTGCTTGCATGATACGATGCTTCTTGAATCAGCAAGATTGTGATTGAATTAGATTTATTGCACTTACTTCTGTGCTTAGCACTTGTCATTTTCATGGTCATTCTATGGCATTGTGACCTAATAGCATGGTCACTTTATGACATGTGACCTAATAGCATGCTGATAATTAGCCTTATTGATGGGTGCCTCAGCTGCTACAAGTTCAAATAGAACTTGTGCTCTCACTCAGACCTTCTCCTCTACATCTGGTCCTCAAGGCTGCAACAGTATC